AGCAGACCATAAATACGGGTTTTCGAAATATCTCGACCTTGGCACCACCTAGGAAGACCATTTTATGCAAAGATGATTCTACTTTCATAGCCAGTATATATTTTAAAAAGCAGACAAATCGGCTAGTAAATACGTTAGATATAAAACTTTTATTTTTTTTGTCGTGGTGGACCTTCCGCTGGAAACACCCATATGTATACCGTGCACTACTAAAGTCCACAGAGAATTTTTCGAAATGTATGTAAGGGTTTTTATTCCATTTTTTCGCTAATTTTTTACATAGTTTATGCTACGTTGTATGTTGCAGAAACAATTAGGGGAAACAATTATAATAAAAAACGTTGCATACCTTGCGAAAAAACCTCTGTGCGAGGACTTAAGTGGTACACGGTATGTATGTACATATATGTAAACTTTTTAATATTTGTGTATGCATGTATGCAAATTTTTAATTGTATGCCTAAATTTCTATTTTGAGTTGTTTAGAAAACTTACATATTTTCACTGAAAGGAGCATCTGGAAATGTAAGTGATGTCATGAAGAAAATGTTTTGCGATGATGTCGTCCAACAGTTTAATTGGGATGGAAGGTGTGGAAAGAAGTCACTCATGAAGCTAAAGATAGTCAATGACTTACTATTTGGTATGACTAATTTGATTTCGGCCTTTTGTTATTTTATTGAAATTTTTTTTTATAGACGCTTTCATGATTAAAGGACGCATTGAATTTGAAAAAGACGTAAACAAGTATGTTGAGATGAGCCACATTCGATTCAAGCAGAAACGTTATTTGGAGAAAAGACAACAAATTAATATAGAGATAGTATAAGCAGCTTCGAGAATTATTATAAGGAATTTCAACCATCGTTGATTATATTACAGATTTTTGTTAATTAATTTTAGTAAAAAATATTCAGGATTTTCATCAAATCAACCAAAAATCGTTTTGTATTCACACAGCCCAATAACTCAAAATTATAATAATAATAAAGTTTTACTAACAATGAGTACAATAATTATAATAACTGCAACAATATTTAATTAAAAATAACAATTTATATAATTAAATTTTGTAATTAAAAATAATTTTAATAGAATATTACTAACAATAATTATAAAAGTAATAATAATTATAAAAGCAATAATTATATAGATATATAGTTATAATAGCAATAATAATAATAACGATAATTTAAACAGTACATATACATATACCTAAATATAAGCGCACCACATAATGACAAGTTTCAACAATTTTTTTTTTATTTAATTTTATTTTTATAAAAACATAGTTTGTTCTTTAACAAAAGCTGTATAAATTAAAGTTTCAAACTTTGTGCAATATTTAAAAAATATCAACAAACTTTCTTAAAAATTGCAAGCTTGTTAATTAGATTTCTTCTAAAGATTTTGAGAATACATATTTGTTTTGTAGTCCATTCAGTTTTGTCCCCACGAATTTGGATATAGTTCGTAACTATTTAAAATAGTAAAATGGGGTACCACCTTACAGATACTTTTAAAATAAATTACAAATGAAAAGTATGCTTTCGAATGCCCCGTCAACAAAACTATATATCGCTTGCGAGAAAAAGTACTTTATTGTACTAAAATTGAATGGGCTGCAAATCTGCATATCTCAAAATCTTTATAACAAAACTAATTAGCAAGCTTGAAATTTTTACGAAAGTTTGTTGATATTTTTTAAATATTGCACAAAGTTTGAAACTTGGATACATACGGTTTTTATTAAAATTAAATAAAAAATAAATTGTTAAAATTGTCAAAGTGTGCTGCGTTTATACTTTTTATACTGGGTGTATATGTAATTAGGGAAAAAATATAAAGAAACCCAATGTAATTATAATATTAGTTAAAACATATGTGATTAAAAATTTAAAGTTATTGACTAGTGAAATAAAATATCTCTATACGTATAACAATAATAAAATATCAATAAGAAAACGAATACAGTATTACAAATAAAACATGTGATTTAAAATGTGAAGTATACTTGTAAAATACAAGACTAAATAAAACTAATAAATGAGTATCTATACCCGTATGATAAAAAATATAAATTAATACTCAAATTCATAAAAAATAAAGAAGATTTAAACTGCTCTATAAATTCAAAATTTGTATGCAAATGTCTCTTTATAGAGCTCCTTAAATCTGTTTTATTTTTTATGTATAAGGCCGTAAAAGGATATTTTCTTGTTAAGTGAAAACTTAAGTTGCATATACATAAAGTACAGTAAACAAAATTAATAAATACAACTATATAATAATTTAATAAAATAATATAACATTTTCTACGTTTGGATATATAATATTAGCATTTAAGTCATTAAATATATATTAAAGTAATTGGTATTGAAAAAATATTATGCATGTAAATTAAACAAATATATTTTACTGAAGTTAATTAAAAAATATATAATAAAAATTGTATGTTACAAAAATTTTTCATTTTGATATAATCAATCAGGGATTGGACATAATTTTCGAATATTGTAGTTATTAGTTTACTAGTGAAACATATAATACGTTTATACGCACGTATTATTTGCAAATAACAATTTGTAAAATGGTAAAATTTGCCGTATAAACGCTGAGTTAATTTTTTATTTGCAAATAACTAAATCACGCAAAAAAGTATTGATTAGTGGTACTATTTGCAAATAAGCGCAAGAAGCCGCCATTCTTAGGTTTATTTTCTTTTTCGACGGTCATCAAAGGCAATAAGCCTTTTTATAATCAAGTCGTTGCCATTTTTAACTTTATTTTCTTTTTCGATTGTCATATTATTGCCTTTTTATAATCAGGCAATATTAAAAAAGAATTGTTTACTATCGAATAAACAGTGAGTTAGTGAGTAGTAATAGGTAAAATGGCTCGTTTATTGCCCTTTAAATTTACCAAGTTTTGTCCTTATATTTTACTAATTATCTTCAGGAAAATTATATGGTCAAATTACAGTCATTCTTGCCATGAATTCCGAAAAAGAATTTGGTGAGTTTACTAGCAAAGAATTGAGTATATATGCCATGTGTGAATAGTGCAGCTACTAACTTACCTCCTTATTCTAGAACCCGAATTTTCGTAATTCGTAATTCGTAGCTACGCTACGAAAAACGAAAAATCCACATGCTGCAACCCTTGCGGAAACATGTGCAGCATTGCCAGCTATCAGTTGTTTTTCGAAGATAGCTGAAAGAAGGAAAACAAAGTGAAAAGGAATTAAAAAAACACTCATCATGTGCTTGATTATTGTAAAATTGGTTAATTTTACATATTTCGAGGAAAATTATGGATTCTGATGTTTTTGCAATTATAGCAGCAGAGTAAATAAGCGGGCGCTATGGTAATGGATTTTTAAAGGTATGCGAAGCTGTCGGGCATAGTAACCATGGGCGCATCTATGTCAGCTTCTGGTTGAATTGTTGAACCACAAGCCAGAACTCCTATGGCTGAAGCTCTGGTTCTCAATCCAGTTAATGCAATAACAGCTTCTTTCAAGCCATTGTAAACATGTACTTTGTTAGGTCCACCACCTGCTGCGCTTGCTTCTGCCTTCGGCCGCGCTTAGGTATTATAACCCTTACTAAGTAGAATTCTCCTTTCTGTGTTGCGGGGAAGAGGGTCTTCCGCATGTCAAAGGTATACAACATTTCTTGTGCATATCGATCCGGCTACGCCGTCCACAGTATTTTTGCGCAGAACCCACGTCGAAATTTGCAAAAAAGTACATAGTGCAAACCGAGTTTATTAATAAGCTAGTGGTAGGAAAGTTGAAACATTTATCTTAAATAAAATGTGAATCCTTTGATTACACGTGTATGTTAAAGTTTTTGGATTCGGGTTATGCGTTTGGACACAACAACCGAAAATCGTTGTACATTAACTAAACCGGACCCAAGTTTCTCGATAAGGGGCAACAAATATTCTTTTTTGCTCGTTTATATAAAGCAGTGGATAAAAATATACGTATATGCGAAAGGCAAATTTATCTGTTTAAATGAACACCACCAATATTTCTTGCAAACACACATCGATTTACATCTTTTATTTCGCCTCCGACACAGAATTGTTTTCGTACAAAATTACGCAAAAAAAGTTACTCGTTCGTTTTTAAGCATGTCATTGTTACGAATTTCGAAAGTTCGAAAATACGATTCGGATTGCAGCATACTATTTCTACCATTCGTAGTAAAATCCGAATACGAAAGAGTTGCAGAATAGGGGTGTTAGATAAGCGAAAAAGCCATAAGTAAGAACGAGAAGTCTAAACACACATAGTCTAAGAGCCAGTAAACAGCAGATTACACATAATTTATGAAAGTCTCAAATTTTATCAGTTAGTCAATAGCTCCTACCGTCCATGAGGTGGGGATTAGTTAAGGCCGGTCGCGGTGGGTTTACCGTCACTCAGGTGTGCCAGGTGTGTTAAATTGGCAAACTAAAAAAGTATTTTAAGAAAGCTGCCGTTTTGATATATCAAAATATACTATGATAGCTATTCAAAAACAAAATGGCAGACGACTACTGCGGTTATAACAACGTGGCAGACACTTTAAAAATTAGAAAAAATTTTTTTTGAAAAGTATTTTATGAAACTTGAAATTTATATATGTTATTCTTCATAGTATTAGTAGCATATATTTTTCTAGGCAGAAGGGTCTGTCGGTTGCTTTGACCTGGCAGACAATATAATGTTTACCCCGCGCGAGTATGCCTGTTTGTAGTAGATACACAATGTTTGGCGTGGCATGAAGAAATCGCACGCGTGACAAACTTTTTTGTTAAGCGCCATTATAGCACCATTTCCCCTTATTCCCAAATATTGAATTAATAAATTATTACGTACATACGTACAAAATTGAAATATATGATTGTGTGAGTTTTGGCCACCTCTGCTTTAAAGTAAAATATAAATTTCGAATGAAAATATTAATTTGAAACAATATTTAAAAACGAAACATTTTAATCTCCACTAATGAAAAATTCAGATCTTTAATTCAAAAAATGCATATCTTTATATTCTCTCTTCATACTTCCGGTCATCCTCGGAATCATCGTCTTCATCATGAGAGAGAATGTCATCACTGGCTTCATCAGTATCTAAAAATTAAAATTAGCAATTCGACATTCTTATATTTGAATTTTATTCTATAATTATATCATTACCTGTAACATCTTTAATCAAATCGCTGACGAGACATGGCAGTTGATCTCCTTCGAACCATTTAAGCGTGAAAGAGTTTTCTTGCTCTACCCAACCATACTCAAGTGGGTCCAAAGTTGTTGGTTGTTTTTGAGAAGCGTTTTTCCAAATGCTTGAAATATAATGAGCTCTCAAAAATTGTTGATACAACTCGCTTTTGCAAGGAGGTATAGAGCTTGCGTCGAAAGTCCTTACTTTTTTCGTGAAATTTTCCGTAACATCAACTGCTTTATAGCTACTGACAAAAAGCTGGAATCTCCCATCATCCACGCCTATTGATTTTCAGCTCCGTACATTAGGCAAGTAAACTTTTGTATAATATTGAACAGATTTTGAAAAAGCTCCTCGGTTAAATAAGCATTGCCAAGATCTGCAAACGCTTTTTGAAATTTAACGCATTTTTTTAATATACCAAAAGGTCTCTTCTTTCCTTTGTTGAAAAAGTCAGGATTGAAGTCTGAGCCGGTAAACGCATGGAACCCACTTTAACTTTTGGTCAATAATTCACCCAATTCCTCATATATCTTGGTGATGTCAATGAATCTTACACTGTTACCTGTTCCAGAGAGCATCCAAATATGAGAAGAGGCATTTTTTAATTTCGTCATATTAGCCAATATTATTATTAATATGTTAGTATCACTGGCTCTAATGACAATATTAGTTTGGTCGACGATGTGACATGCATGGTAAATAATTTTTGTATCAGCCTCTCCATGCAAATTACAACAAAGATCTTCAATAATGGTCGATTCAACTTTTCCGTTATTTGCTTTGTACGATCGACACTCTCGGAAATTAAGGTGAATTAATTTATTACCAACGAACGGAGCAATTTCATCACTTGTCCAATGTGTGGAAAAAAAAATGAATTAAAGATTCCTTAAAGTTAGTATTTTTCAATTCTTTAGCAAAATCTGTTGGTCTCGTCTGATCTGGCCCGGTGATTGAATAATTAATTAATGGCGCCTCTTTTCGCAGTTGTCGCTCCGAATCTTTAATCGAAGGAAGCCAATACTGATCAAAGATTACATCCATTCTATTTGCAGGATATTTGGTTATCATCTGTAAGAATCTTTTGGAAATGTTTCCAAATCTTTTAGGCACCTCTTTCATCGCATGTAATATGAAAAATCCATCTATTAAGTAAACATCCGAGTAGCGCAGCGGGTTATGGTCAATTTTAGCTTCCAGACATTTGGCAAGCGCTGATTTAGCGGTTTTGTAGATCACTCCGTCCAAGTGACATAACGCAAGAGGAACTGGAGTAATGGGGTAGGACAAAATTCGCAGGACATCGAGTTTATGGTTCATTGAAATTCCTAACATGCGACCAAATAAATCTCGTTGAATCTGAATTTTTTGGTCTTTTCCGCCGATTTTCACTTTTTTCTTTTTTTTGATTTCGCTAGAGAAATTGTGAATGGGTGTTTTTTTAATTGTTCGTTCGAACGTATTAATATCCAAAGAACACTCAGTAATAAATGTTTCTCGTTGGTCGTTACCAATTTCTTCAATACTAAGGAGAAACTTTTCAACCTGCGGGGTAGCACCTTTGCCGGATGCAATGTTGAATAACTGGTCCATAGGTAAGTCATGACTGAAGGGATTGATATACTGATCAAATGTTTTGATGAACGTTGTAAGTTGCTCTGGACTCTTTTTAATACTCGAAGGCTGTAATTCAGCTGAGATATCTTGAGTTGTCCCAAGTCCTACTTCTTCCATAACATGAGTAATAACAGTAGAGCGAATATCATGGCTCCGTGCCCAACGTTGACAAGCTGAGATCGAATCTGTCAAGTGTATAATTCCGGTAAGTTTTCTAGCGGCATCGGCGTTTATTGTTTGCTCCATGGTAAGGTCTATAGACTGCTGATTTATTTTGGAACGAATTTCCGTCATCCCTTGTCAAGTTTGGTTTGCAGACAAACCGGTTTCGGCGTTGTGCCATCTTCAGTGTCATTTTTCGTTCTATAGACTGCCTTGAAAATGGTTTTGGGGTCCGTTTTATTCCAAAAAATCCATTATTGAACTCTTCTTCCAATCCTGGATGAGTTTTAGCTATTTTAACAAGGCTGTATTGGTATTTAACAGTCCATCTGGCGCATTTTTGATGAAAGCATGCCAGATTGATCGTTTCAGCTACAGCGCGAAGCAAAAAGATGACCAACTCCCATCCTTTGGGCGCGTTGACAATCAGCCGATTTAATAATTATTTTGTTTAGTCCAAATTCGAGTTTTCATGCAAAGAGTTAACTCTAGTATTGATTTGTTATTTTGGGGTTGAAATATTTTTTGTAATTCCCAGATCGATGTTGTCGGTATTGACGTTGTTGTCGTTTGGCTCAGTAACTTAAATTAGTTGAGCACCTCTGCCCTAAACTAGTTCCAATAATGTACATGAGGAGGCTGAAAAAAACCGTGAAAGAGAAAGAATACGACAGTAGTATACACAAAAAAAAGAAGAGAGAACGAAAACCTTAATATTCCGTATACGACGTATCTACTACAAACAGGCATATCTATTCGCGCGGGGTAAACATTTTATTGTCTGCCAGGTCAAAGCAACCGACAGACCCGTCTGCCTAGAAAAATATATGCTACTAATACCATGAAGAATAACATATATAAATTTCAAGTTTCATAAAATACTTTTCAAAATTTTTTTTTCTAATTTTCAAAGTGTCTGCCACGTTGTTATAACCGCAGTAGTGGTCTGCCATTTTGTTTTTGAATAGCTATCATAGTATATTTTGACATATCAAAACGGCAGCTTTCTTAAAATACTTTTTTAGTTTGCCAATTTAACATTTATTGAACGAAATATTATGAAATTACGTGAATTATGTAATTCACGTGCTATTTAGCTTTGTAATAACTGCAAAAGGGCTCAAAATTAAATGTCCGTTTTTCTTAATTTTAAACTTCATGCTTTTGGGTGTCAAGTACAATAATTATACCGAGTTTGGTACAAATTGATAAATCTGTTACTTTTGAATGAATAAACTGCAGTAGTTACTAAAATATTGCAGTTGTCGTATATCTTAAAACGACCGTTATATTGGAGGTAGGCGTGGTTATTGGCCGATTTTGCCCATCAATACCATCGGTCCTACGCTCAAAAGAAGTACACCAACCAAGTTTCGTTAAGATATATTACCCCCTCCCCCCCCATTATGAATTCATGCTATGCTCGATAAACGCTTGCATTCTGTTATTCTTTATTACGAATTGATGTTGCCGTATGAAATCCGATAGTTAGCGTAGCTGACATGTGCTGGTTCACAGTAAAAAGTGAACAAAAACCACAGCCATTCACAACATTACATCTGTCGAGCGTATGAAAACGATACTACGAGAACTGATTTCATACGATACGCTTGCAAGCGTTTTTCGTCTATCGTATGAAAATTCAAAATAGGGGGATTAATTTTTACTCGAGTTATCGTGTGCACAGACGCACGGACAGACAGCCATCGCCTAATCGATTTATTTTTTCATTCTGAGAATTTATGTATACAAAAATAAAGAGCTCTGTTAGTTTCTGCTAGTTTTTTAGGATAAGATACGCTTTCCAGCAGAAACTAATGATAATTATCTGAAAAGAAACAAAGATAATGCTTGCTGTCAAAATGTTCACTAGCCCTGCCGGATAAACCATTTTTATTCACCTCATAGCTGTCACAAATTTACTATACGGAGTACTTTTCTATCAATTGGAACAGGCCCTAAGTGTTAAGTGCTCTTTTTATATAAAAATGAAAGAGAGTTCTGCGCGCATTCCTACGACAGCCGGTTCTACGTACCGGAAAGAATCGAAGACAGAAACATACACAAAAGTGTATCTCGGTAACAGTTTTATTAATTTGTACCAAACTCGGTATAATTATTGTGCTTGACACCCAAAAGCAAGAAGTTTAAAATTTAAAAAATCTGACATTTTAATTTTGAGCCCTTTTGGCAGTTATTATAAAGCTAAATAGCACATGAATTAGTTAGAATAGTTCACGTAGATTTCATACTATTTTGTTCAATATTAGATTCAAAATGCTAACTTTCCTGCAAATACATTGGAATTTGTAAAAGTAATTTCACTACTAAAGGTCAGTATGCAGCTCTCAAGAAAAGCAAAACCTCCATATAAAATGACGTACAAGAAATGGCTAAGAAATTTTCTTGTGTAAATTTTTCTTGATGCAGTACGCAGTTCTTAAAAAATTTGCTACGCTTTCTACTACGGTTTTCTAAAGTTTTTTGTGAAAAAAGAGCTCAAGGCTTTGCAAGAGAAATATATGCCCGTTCCATTATTTCTTGAGGAAAAGGTGAGGCAACAGGCTGGTGAAGTATCAGATGTCAAAATTCCTTGGACACACACACGAAATAATGACAATTTTTTTCTTGACCGTTTTCTTGAGAGCTGCATACTGGCCTTAATTGAATACTTTGTATACCTTTCTACTACCATTTTCGCACCGAGGGGTTACAATCTTTCCCGTTTCTCCGTCCTTCGTAAACGCAAGGGAGTGTCATACCGCGGTTGACAGTAATTATCAAACCTTTTATTATAGAATAATGCTAGAGTAGTAAAGAAACAGAGCTACTATCAAGAGTACCGAACAACGCATTTATATGTATGCACATAAATTAAAGAAAACCAAAGCGAGCGGAGTTGATATTAGAGAAAAAATGGCTTAAAGGTTTAATAAATTCATAGATTTCCGTTCCGGAAGACCTGAAATCAGCAAAGGCGAATATTTTCTATACAACCGCTGCATTTATTATTTGCCAACTCGATACTGTGGCGAATACTGCGGCAACACAAAGCGAACAACGAGAAATAAGCAGAATGTTCGAGGAATGACGTAGAATGTTCCACAATGAGAAAACGTCAAGTGGATGAACACTGCGAACAGCGAGAGAAAGAGAATGAGCGATGAACTTCAGAACATTCTAGAGTTGCCATGAGTGCGAGCGCGAGGTATATAAGGGCGCCACCAGACACCGGAGAGAGTTAGTTACAAGTCGGCAAACTACAAGTAAAGTGAGTTGCGAATAAGCAAGCTATAAGTTTAATTGTGTTAACAAGTTTTGTAAAGTGTTTTAATTGCCTTAGCAAGTATTGTTAATTGTTGTCATTGCATAAACAAGTATTGTAAAGTTTTTGTTGTACAATAAAGTTAATTGTACTACAATTTGGTCATCGTAAGCATATATTTAACAATCGAGCGATACGAGCCGTAAGATATTTGGGAAATCTTACAAGGTTTCTAGGATAATCGTAACAATTGGTGTCAGAAGTGGGATTGTTAAATAAATCCCGAAGGATAAAGTACTGAAAATGGCGAAAATTCAGGACTTAAAGATTGAGGAGCTGAAACAGGTTTGGAAAAGAGTAATTGGTCCACCTCCGGAAGAAAAGTGGAATTGTTATCCCCGTTGCGAGAGGCTATGGAAAAGGAAGGTATCGACGTTGACAAATACGACTTCTATCGTGAGGACGACGCGACATCAACGAAGGACGAACAGAAAGATGAGGCTGCTTGTTCGTCGAAGGATGTGCAGCAGACATCCGGGAAGGTTGAAGAACATCAAGAGGCTCCTAGTTCATCAACAGTTATGGACATGAACACATTATTAGCCGCCATGTCCCATATGTCATCACAGCTGTCGTGCCAGCTGGAAGCACAGAAAACGCACATGTCATCGCAGCTGGAAGGACAGAAAATGTACATGTCATCGCTGCTAGATGAAAAGATTACTCAGCTAGAGCAGAATTTATTCAAAGATAACGCGGAACTTAGAGAGAGACAGTATAAAATCGAGGAGCGGCAAGACAAAATCGAAGAGCTAATTAAGGAGAAAGTTGAGGCTAAGGTAGAAGAATTGGAAGGTCGTCTCCGAGATATGCATTTGAATCGTCCAGCTACTTCGACGAGCGCGCCCAAGGTAAAGACTCCATCCTTTGACTCGTATGCTCAGACACGTGAAACGGCGGCGCTCCTAAGTAGACCAGCCTACAAAGCCCATCGAGTAGAAGTGGAGACACCGGACGAGACAAGGGAAATGCTGAAGAAGCTAATCCAACTGCTGGGCGAGAAAAAGCATGGCTCTGGCAAATGTTTTAAATGTGGAAAGCCAGGCCACTTCGCCCGCGATTGCAGCGCAAGTTCCAGTGCGCTCAACAGTCTAGCAGTACGTAAACGTAGGGCTGAGGAAGACGAATCTAACTCCAGTCAGTCGTTAAACTAAAACGAGCCAGCAGGAAGGGCCGCGTGCTGGCTCCGGGCCCATAATCTCCGTCTCACAAATTGTCCGGAATGCGAGCAACCTCACTATTGGTGGATGTGTGAATGGGCAGGAGCGAGTGCTGACAGTGGATACTGGAGCGTCACATTCCATTATTCGTCCTGATGTAGCTACTTTTTATGTGAAGCCACTACCTGGAGCAAAGCTGCAGACTGCAACTGGTGAGCGAACCCAAGTGTTAGGAGAAGTACTATGCGAGGTAATAATCGACGGGTTGGCCTCGTACACGAAGTTTATTGTGGCAGACATTGTGGATGAAGTCATAATCGGCTTGGATTTCCTACTTGGGCAAGGCATGAAAATTGACCTCTAGGGAATGATCCTAACCTATGGCGACAGGAAAGTGCCACTTAGGGTTGGTTACGACAACCAGTGCTGCAGCAGACGGTTGGTCTTAGAGGAAGTGCCGAAGATTCCACCAGAAACGGAAGTGGTTAGTTCGGCAGAGGTTGATAGTGATAGAGACGAAATGGTTTCGTCAGGAGAAGGAAGTGGTTCACCGATACAGGAAAAGCATGACCGTTCCGCCAGCTCAGTGAAGAAAAGGTCGCAACAAGG